GTGATAAGGTCCAAGGAAAGAGTAGGATGGTCTTACCTCCAGCTGTATTGGCTTACAAAATCCATTGTTTTCACCCAGTATAGTTAATAGAAAGGGACTGTGGAACTTGTAGGCCAAAATGTCTGGAGGACCCACTGTGCAAGGTAAATTTCAATGATCTTTGTTGTAGTTGTGTGCCTTCAAGTCACTTTCAACTTAGGCAGACCCATGGGGTTTTCTTGGCAAGATTTGTTCAGAGGAGGTTTGCTACTGCCTTCCTCTGAGGCTGAGAGCATGTGATATACCCAAGGCCACCCAGTGGGTTTCATGGCTGAGCAGAGAATTGAACTCTGGTCTCCAGAGTCATGATCCAACACCCAAACCACTATGCCACACTGGCTGTACTTGAGAAAATTGCAAACAGATAGCATCACACAGACATTTCCAAAAACAAATAAAACAATGGTATTTAGTATTTTATAAGTCAACATAATGTAAATAACTTTATACAAACCATTTTAAGAAGAATAACATACTAAACAGAGCAATGCATCATAGGCATAAAAGTAACAGTTAACACACCAGAATATGATGGTGGCAAAAGCATCATCATTCCCAGTTCCTGGAGTTTGGTGGCAGTTACCAAAGCAACAGTGAATTGCTGTTCTCACCTGTCTGTGAATGAAAGCCAAATTTTGCAATAACAACTCCCCCCACCACACACACTTTTCACCTCTACTTTCAAAAAGCCAAATGCACACTCGCCCTTATAGTCATCAATTAGTGTGTTTGGCCTAATGAGGTTCCCTTTCCCACACAGGCAGTCTAGCAAAGATAAATTAACCATTTTATTAACCATAAGCGATTTATTGTCTCACAACTCATGTAACACCTCCTAATGGATGGAATTAGGGTTAAAAGAAGGTTATCTAGAATTGCCAGTGGTGTTCGACAGGAAAGCCCATTTGCCCCACCTTTGTCCCTCTGGCATTGGTGATTTAAAATGTAATTAGTAGCTGTCTAATTAATTATTCTCTATTGACTGTAAAGGAAGGATGCCCCAAGTCAATGTGCTGAGCTTTTATACAATACAACCTTGCTTATATTTCAAAATGATAAAATGGGAGGCTAAAATGGGAGGCTGTTGAGAAGAATTGCTTAAATTTGTCTGTTTCAGTCAATACATCTCAAAAACCATGCCAATAGACTTGTGAATGACTACTCAATCATTTTCTCCTATATTTACATACATACATAGGCATTCTCAAAATTAATTACTCCAACACACAAAGAGGTTGAGACTACACTGAATAATCCAGTTCCCCAACATCTTTGCCTACATATATGCAGCAGAAAATGTTGAATTTGCATTTTAATGAGAGTCAGTGTGCCTTTTAATGCAAACTTACCTAATTATGTACTTTCAAATGTATATGCTAACTGAAGTTCAGTTACCCTTGGAAATCTGCAGTTCCCTAAATTTTGCAGTCAAAGAAGGCATGGAACAAAGGTGGATAAATCCAGATTTCTCACGAGAGTCCATTTGACAGGAAGGGAAAATGAATCCCAACTCTCGATAAAGCGGCTTGTACATAATGCCTTTCTTTGTTTCATTCACATTTTAATTTTATAAGTGTACTGCCAGAATAAAACTACACTTAAAATGGACCCCCATTTTAAATGTTCTGTGTATGCTGCCATTACAATACTGTGCATTTGTTATGGACCTACTCTACAAATAAATAATAATAATAATAATAAATTTTATTTATATACCACCCATTGGTGACCTAATCCAGGCGGTTCACACTATTCACTGCTGCTGGTGAGTCTAGGGAAACATAGCATGTTGGGGATCCCACACTATCCAGGACATTATAAAAGTTCCACAGTCAGGATTCTGCTATGACTCCCTGCTTACCACCATGACTGATGGTTTTTAGGATATAGCCTCCTACGTGACCATTCCAAGGCTGTTGGAGAATGCAAGTGACCAGAGAACCATCCCAGTTTGTCTATAGTCAGATGCAATCAGATGGCATCTTCTGCCAAGATCTGCCAGAGTCCTCTGGAGATCCCAGCAGACAATGTAATCGTTCTACATCTGGCTACAGGGATATATTCAGATACTTTTCCAAGTCTCCTCACTCTCCATGAGTCACAAATTGTCATTTGAGGATCTGTTGTGGAAAAAGAATTAGTTCTGAGCATGGCTCTGGGCAGAAGAAAATGTCAATGTCTGCAATGACACCCCCCCCCCCCCCCCCGTCATATGCAAGTGTAAGGTAGTTTTACATTTGTATATCTCACTGACAGAATGCCAAACAAGATCTGTAATTTTTTACTGACCATCAAGATCTTCTGCCATGTAGATCACTCCAGTCTTTATACGAGGCTGTATATAATATGTATCCATAAGAGGCTGTATATACTACAATTGCCAGTTCCCGTGGTGCCAGAAAAAGTCTTAGATAATTGTTATGTTATGCTACTTTGAGTCTCCAGGTGACGAGTCAAATATCAAGGGGAATAGCACAAGAAAAAAGTGCTTAATTTCTCTATGTGAGCTGGCTTTAAAGCCTGGACTCCCATCTCCATCCACTGCCAGTAACAGGGCTTAGCTTAAAAGTTTTTGCATGTGTCTTGTGGTGGTGCAACCTCAATGAAAAGTTAGATTGTGTTGAGGGGTATAGAACTGGACCAATTTGCTGTTTGGAAGAAATTGGAACATAAATTACCAGCATCATGGCACAGGTGTAACAAGATATGCTCATCATGGCACAGGTGTAACAAGATATGAATATTAGACTTGAATGCATAGGACATGAAAGCTGCCTGTTGTCAGAGTCCAGAGAATTCATAATGGCCAAGCTGGGGTTGCTGATGCAGCCTGGACACTTTGTTCATCATTGAAAATCCAAGCCCCATTTTAAACCACCAAATGCAAAAATCCCTCATTCATCTTGCCATGCTGGCAAGGAAATGGTTGCATTGTTGGATAGCTATCAGTACTCAACTGTCTTGTCCACCTGCACTGAGTGGAGATCCTGCCAAACTGGATCAGATTGCTATGGTACCCCTATGGTGGGGTATTGTGCTGTCTCCAGAAAGGCTAGAAATTTCAAAGGCCTGAAACAGATGGGCCAAAAAAAAATGGCTTCAGCCACTTTAGGGGCATGGCATTCAGATGATGAATGCCCCAAAGCAGCTGGAAGCTGCTCCAAGGCTGCCAAAGGTGGCCTGAAACCACTAGAAAAAGCAGTGGATTTAATCTGCTCCTGGCAGTGGCCCACTTTGAGAGTGGGCCATACAATCACTGTGGTCCAGGGCCGATTGTGGCACATTCATGGCTGGAACAGCCAGAGGTTGCCCATCTTGCTGCCCATCTGCTTCGGGCCCATGAGAGTAAATATCTATACCAATAGACTTTACCTGTGTACAGAACCCCATTTCTCTACTTGCTCAGACAGCTTAAGAGCCATTATCAGAACCTGAAAGGCAGATTCACCTCTGCCTTTTGCAAGTACATGTTGAGGTCATGTTTGCTCATCCAGAGGTGTTCTCTTTACTCTTTAGGAAACCACCCCAAAGTTAGAAAAACCTTAAAAACAGAGACACAAAGAAAGAATCTCTCTCTTTGACTCACTTCCCTCTCTTTGATCTGTTGACCCAGTTTCCAGTCATTTTCTCCAATTGGAATGTGAGAAAATCTATATATGTGTGTTTTAGTCTGGAGGCCCCTTATGTTTAGTTACACCTCTCCAGCCCCCCTTACAAAACTGTTCAGATCTCATGGCCATACAGAATGCAAGAAACAGGAATAGTGGCAACCTCTGCAAGTGCTGAAGGTGCTAGGTACATGTTGTCAGACGAACATCCACCCACAATATTTTCCATTGCTATATTTCCTAGTTAGCTGGGTTTCATGCACAATAATCTTCCCCTTTGTCTGCCTTACTCTTGTGGTACTGAAAAGACCCACACCCTTGTTTTAGATTTTGGACCTATGGAATAGCATTCTGCAAACTTAGACTGCATACCATCATGTATGCATCTGCCTCTCTATGCTTGCCTGTCTTCATATTCACCAGCACTGCCATTTATGCAGGGGGGACTTGGACATCTTCTTGCATGAGCAACAAAAATGGCTAACTGCTGCTAGAACTAGATGTTGAGGCAGGACTGTGTCCTTACAGGTTCTATGAGAATGGATATAGTTTAGCTGGAACAAGAAAATAGATTCAGGCCTATATATATAATATTGCTACAGGTTGAGTCTGCCTTATCTGAAATGCTTAGGACCAGAAGTGTTTTGGATTTTTTAAAAATTTTGGAATACTTGTATTTGCATATATGTACATAATAAGATATCGCGGAGATGGAACCAAAGTCTAAACACAAAATTCATTTATATTTCATATACACCTTATACACATAGACTAAAGGTAAATTTTACAACATTTTAATCATTTTGTGCATGAAGCAAAGTTTGTATACATCAAACTGTCAAAATGCAGAGGTGTCTCTATGTCAGCCACCAATAAAAAAAGTTTTGGATGTTGGAGTATTTTGGATGTTGGAATTCCTGGTATGGGAGACTCAACCTGTACTATAAACTACTCTGGGGTTTATTTATTTTTAAATGAAAAGCCTTACTCATTTCCTTTAAATACATGAAATCATTTCATGTAGCAAGAGTGGACATGCAAACCTGACATGAAGCTGTTCCTTTTCAGCAGTAGTCTCATGTTTTGATTTTATATTACACTAATAATGTCTAATATGGGAAGCAGTCCTTACAATGCTACAGAATAATATAAAGTTGAACCCATGAGTGCTGGTATTCATGAGTTTGTAGTACTGACTGAAAAGCAATAGAAGGGTCATAGCACAAACAGCAGGGGCAAGCAGTGCTTGAGTTAATGAGTAACCTTTATCTTCCTCAGAACTAATGTACCACTTAGCACTCCATGGACTGGCCCTTCTTTCTTGACTGATATGCAGGATAAATCCACACTTCTTGAGTAAATGTCTGCTATAAGACAGCCCTGTGATAGAGCTAATGGTAGCTTAATGTTTGTTCCATCAAGAATTCTCTCCCCAGAAACCAACTTAAAAGTGTCATTGCATCCTTCTAGAAGTGCTGGTTAAAACGTCTGTTACACCATCGTACTTCAATATAGTATGATTTATCATTAGGAACCAAGCCTCACATGTGACTCTACAGGTTAAAATGACATCAGTTTTCATTCCTTTTTCATGTCACTTCTGGGACCCTTGTAATACCAGTTGTTTCCTGTAGAAATTTGATGACAACTGATCAAATAACCAGGTAATTTTCTTTAGGATACATGGTTTAAATAAAGCTTTGGAGATCAGCCAGAGTCAATCACTGTAAGA